GACCTGATACTGATGTTACTGAATGTTGGAGGTCAATACACATTACGCACACTTATTCCTGGTCATGGTCATTTAAAATATGCAAGGTTAGCTGCCTTTGTATGCTGCAACGACATCATGTTACATAGTGGTGAAGCAGTAAGGCCAAAATAATGACCATTTGTGCTATGAACTGTACAATATGTGAACTACAGTGTGAGCCTTTATCACCCCCTTTAACTTTGCAGTGATTTTGTGGTCATTAGTTCAGAAGAAAAGAATATACAGTATTTTCTTTCTTTTCCCTCATCTTGGGAGCTCTCAGATGTGTCTTAGCATTCCTGGAGGGTCCAAACCCCCAGGCTGGGAGCAATTTGAAAATATCCACTATGATGTTCAAATGATCAGTGAACTTTTCCCCCACTTCTTTCTTCTGACAGAAACATCAGCTAAAATATAACCATTATGTTCATTATCTGTGTACATAAACTACATTCGACACATAAGATGTTTCTTACAAACTGCAGTCATTCTTTCCATCCACCCATTATCTATACAGCTTATTCCTGAACAGGGTCACGGGGGGTCTGGAGCCAATCCCAGCTGTCATTGGGCGAAAGGCGGGGTACACCCTGGACAGGTTGCCAGTCTGTCACAGGGCTGACACTTAGAGACAAACAATCACACACGCCCATGGGCAATTCAGAGTTGCCAATGAACTTAAACCTAAGCGTTATGTCTTTGTACCATGGGAGAAAGCTGGAGTACCCAGAGAGAACATGCAAACTCCACACAGAAAGCCCCAGGGTCGAACCCAGAACCTTCTTGCTGTGAGGTGACAGCGCTAACCACCTCTGCTTCTGCGTGTACAATGCACTGTGCTTCTGACCTACCTATAGGACTATACAGGCTGTTTGTCCCAACCCACTGAGAAGGCACAAAGGAGCATTTCCTTGAAATATGCCACAGATGAAAGGTTAAAATTCACTAACTAACCCTTTTATGATGTGACACTGCTATGGCAAAGGTTTGGCTCAGTTTAGGCACAAAGACAACTTGATACCCATCAAAATTATTATGCCTTCTTGTCAGAAAGTTGTAGTACTCCGAACAAGTGAGGATCTCTTTAATAGCGAGCACGGTCGACTGTGCATTTCTCCTCTTTCATTTGCCCTCAGATACCGGTTGGTAGCCTGCACCCACATTGTTCTAATTCTGTTCATTCCTTTGGTGTGGGGGAGGCAGCAGCAGTTGGTGTCCTTATGTGTGTGTGAAGATCAACTCAGCACCTGATGGTGGCAACAGGTGGGCTGGGTCATATGCTTTTTACAGTAAAAAAGGACAAGCACAATAAGAAAAACCTGTTTGCAGACTGTGACTCACACTTTGACAGAAACTATACAACCTGGACCATAAAAGAGAACCACATTGTAATCACATTGTTTGGAGAAGAGTGGTGCAGAGGATGTTTACCTAGAGCAGGTTTTCCTCTTCTGTCTGCTGGAAGACATTTCCACTCTGCTCCAGCCTTCTGTCATTGTAACAGCGCGGCTGCTTTACCTGCTATGGATCAATATGTTGACCTGACCAGCTTCACTAGATCAATGACTTTCTCACACACACACACAAGCAGATGCACCCTCTGCTCTACTTCTGAAATGACACACGTGCCGGCTGCTGTTCAACCTGATCATTTTCTCTTTTGCTTTCTTGATTCAGGCGCACACACAAATGCACGTGGGCCAAATTATGTTAAATTGATTTTGTAGTTTGTTATGTGAATGCAGCAACAGAAAGGTCAGCCCTTTGTCAGCCGAGACCAGCAACTGAATCAAAACACATCAATTCTTCCCACTATACCAACCTCCTGGGTGCCATATATACGGATGGATGGATGGATGGATAGATAGAAAGATAGATAGATAGATAGATAGATAGATAGATAGATAGATAGATAGATAACCACACATTAATTTACACACCTAGGGCTCATGCATTTTGCATCAAGTTATTATACTTGTAGTACATTTGCATATAATACATACAATATGATACTTTGATGTACATTATACTTGTACATTTGCATAGTTTAACCGTCCTGTACAGTCGACCACATCTTCTTTTGAGCGCACAGGCTACATAATAGGCTATAATATGACCAATTTACTCAAGTGATTGAGTTTTAGTCACAAGATGTAGCATATATAGTGAGACAAAACATAACATGAATTGTACCTTGACGTATGTTATATAATGAGGAGCCAGGGGGAAAATTATCACCAATCTCCTATTAATTGGCAGTGAAGCTGAGGATCATTAGAGTCCGAACCACCACCTAATTCAGTCAGCCAGTCTGTCATAATGAATGGTGTTAAAGGTTTCAGGTGGACTAGCAGCAGAGCATACAGGACTCACGTGGCTCTGCAGCCTTCAGGGCCTCATTAATAACCTTGTGAAGGACATGTTTCCTCCAAATGAGTCATTCCTGTTTTAATTCAAACCACCACAACAGAGTAACTATCACTTTATATTTGCAGACAAGCTGTGTGAGAGGCAGGCTGAGAAACAGAAGGAAAGATTTATCATGTCAGCTGTTCATCGCAGCATGCCACGTAATGAACACAAACAACCTAACATGGGCACATAATCATGTTATGGCACACAGTCCCACTGCCATACAACAATGAAAACTTTCTTTAGAGGAGTAAATTGTCTTGTAAAACAAAGTGAGCTGGAATTCAATCTCCTCATCACCTCTGGTAATCTGTTTATCCTTCTCTCTTGTTCCTCTCTCCCAGTCTTTCCTGTCCCGCTCTTCTCCTCCTCTTTTATTTTGATCCTCACACAAAAAAATTACATAATATAACTGATCCACTGACTGAATAAACAGTCACTGTTTGCATTACAGCGATCAAAGTATTGGTAAAATGAATGTAAGCATAACAGACATGCCTGTATATTACTTTATCCCAAGCATCATTAAAGTTACACAAAATAAATGAATGCTATTAAGCACTGCTTTAAAACTCATAATAAAGTGGACCTCAGACAGAAAACTAGTTACAAGGTCCTTTCATTTCTGCAGATTTTTATAGATATTGACGGTCAGTGGTAGGATCAGCAATTTTTGGAGAGTTGAAGAAAGTACTGTTTCAGCAAAAATGTTACACAGTGGGATCTATGTTATTTCCTGGACAGCAGAGATCCTTAAAAGGTTAAAAAGATCATTAAAAGGTCAAGTTAAAAGGGCATACTGTCAAATACCACTCACCATGTAAAAAACACATCTTCTGGAGCTCTTGCAGCAACCATGTCTCCGAGAGATGATGTTTATAAAATATTCATTTGTTTGGGATGAGAAAATGTTGCTACTGTCTGGAATTTGTTCAGAGGCAACTTGGAAATGCTGTAAGAATTGGGGGGGTAGAGGGGTGATGTGTCCTTTGGCTAAGGTTATGGGAAGACTATGGTTTTAATTAAAAGTCCTCACAGTAAACACATTATTTCTGGCACATTGCTTCTCTGTGGAACCTGAAGATTTTCTCTAATGGTAACCAAATACCGAGAGGCCAAAGATAACTATAGAAAGTGTAATCATGCTTTAGCTACAAGTGAATATTGTACTTTAGATATGGATAGTATATTTTTCAGATACATTTCAATTCCATGCTTTTATTGTCCAGACCGGTATACAAGCACACACACACAATACACACAAATAAAAAGATGTTGAATAAACAGAATGGATGTAAAAATTGTCCAAAAAACCTTCATAACAGTTCCCTTCTAGTTGTCGTTTCAGGCAACTAGAGGGGAAAAGAAGAAGGTGTTGTAAGGGGTGGTCAGGACTACCAATGGCAGTGTGCTTTCTGGATGGATTGTTTTGTAGGTGTGTGTGTGTGTGTGTTGTGACTCTGCTATCACCTCAGGTGATTCTTGTTTGTGATGTTGTCCAGGTTGCCAAACCATGCAACCACAGGGATCATCATTGTCCTACTAATGTTAAAATGTTCCTGAGGAAGAGCAAACATTACTGTTTTTTCTAGAAACCACATCTGTGCTTTCTTCATATGTCAGTTTGTGGCCAGGTAACAGCTGACTTGCCTCCAGTAATGACTGTAGGTATTTTAGGAGGTGGGTTCTTTGTAAAGTCCATAACCATATCTTTGGTTTTTGTCACATTAAGCTGTCACACCATTTTATAACCACATCCACTACACACCCATGACCCGTCTCATTGTCTTGGAGGAGGCTGACATTCAGTATCAACTTTTTGCAACATGTCAAACACAGTAATTTTAACAAATGTTGATTAAAAAACAAATTGGGCAGTATTATGCTTTCTTCAGAACATAATTGCTTTTGCAGATTAGTATTCTACAAATATAATTTCAAGGAAATAAGGTTGCTGGGGGAGCTTTTCAAAGCATAAATAACAGGTTAGGGTGTATTGAGGTTTGGGCTTGAAGATAAACAGAAAACAGAACTGGCCTGTTTAAATCTTGATCTAGTTTTGATTTAAATTTGCTATAAATTGGGAGATGTCGCTTTAGCCATCCAACCATTGAACCTTCCCTACTCCTTTTCAGTGTTTAAATTCAACTCCCTTATTTTATCATTCGTTGATCCTTGATCCTCACTCAACCCGGAACTCATTACAGCTCTTATTCCAGCTCTGAGGATTGAGGATCAAGGAGGCTGCTGGAGGAGCTGTGAGCAAGGATCCATAAAAGTATCCTTTATAGAAGACTTTTAATGATGGGAACACCCCTTTATCTGAATTCAGTAGGTGATTGGATGCTTCAGATGAAGGATCAGAAGAATGGATGTCTCATGTCTGTATAACTGGGTTTCCTTAATTCCTCTCTCTTTACATTTTTTCCTTGTATCTTACATGGGCAGGACTAAGACGCAAGGGAGGGAAACATGGATGCAATTAAGGGAGTTAGGATTTACCCCAAGTTTAACTTTCTGTCTGTCTTTCTTGTTTTATTTCCCATCTTCCCTCCTCCTGTGCCCAGCTCTCTTCCCCAAATGAGTAGTCAGACGAGTGGCCAGAAGGCAATCCCTTCGGCACGGGCCAGTCGAAGATTTTTGGATGATGTCATTTTGACCTTCAGCTCACCAATGGCCTGGCTGCTGGTTGTGGCTCTGATCATCACGTGGTCTGCTGTGTTCATTGTTCTCTTTGATCTGCTTGATTATAAGACTCTAACAGGTAACAAGAACCAATTATTGATTTTAATAGTTGTTTCAATATTTTAATAGATTTTTATTGAATATTAATGTTTAATAATCATTTGATTGTTATCATATTTACCATTCTAAAACTATTATAATTCCATATAAATGTCACTATAACTTGCCCGTAATGTTGTACTCAGTAAGACTTCCCTTTCACTCATGCATTACCCGGCTTTCACATTTCAATCACACATCCATATTTTAACCAAACATTGTTCAACAGACTTTCAGACATCTTTGAAGAAGATTCAAAAGTAGACACATTCTTATGAAGGTCATCATTTTCAGCAACATCCATGTTATGTTATGGGATGCACAGTATAATGTCTCCGCATCTGTGTTGCTTTAACACATTTCCTGATACTTGACAGCTGCAATGAAGATGATACTTTTTAGGAGGGCATTTCTCACACTCACATGTTCACTTAGGCACTAACATTTGACAGTGCATGGACTACGGTGGTAATACAGCTGCTTACATATTGAGGTTTATCCAGTACACTTCACTTTCACATAAATGTCTGACTCATAGACTCAGAAAATAGACCGAAAGGGCACTGGTGTTAACATGCATACTAATCACACAGTTGTAGGGGGTAGCAGGCCTCATTCTGATTAAAATATTAAGTCTTTTAAAGTTAAATAAATTCTCTAAGACCCAGCATATATGGACTTCTTTAGAAATGCTGCTAGTTGCTGCTATACAGAAACTGAGGGCTGCTTTGTTTCCTCATGTATTTTTAAATTGATCCCATTATCTCTAGCTCGTGACTTAATTGTTGTGATCACATTTCTTTTTCTGTGAATACATTTTAATTACTTCAAAATTGCAACTACTGTATGTTACTGATTGATTAAAGCAGATGCAGCCATCAAAATCAGCTTACTGATGCCATGATGAGGCTTACAAGGCTTTACGGTACAAACCCATTAATTTACTGTATAACTTGAGCTAATGAGAAACACGTGACTGTAGTATAACTAGAAAAATCTAGACAGGGCAACAGCAGCACCCAGAGATTCCACCATGCTGTACTGAAGCACATTGTTTTGCTTTTGTAAATCTAGCATCTTGATTTCCCCAGAAATCAGAAGACTGAACAAAAATGTATCTGTGCTAATGTGAATTTGCTGCAGTTATGAAATACTAAGGAGAATATTTATTACTGTATAGTTCAACAAGTTTCAATAGCCGATCTATTGCTTTAACTGAGCTATTACTGTAGGATCAGATTATTAGTTTGCATGTTAGCATTCTCATAATAAACAAAGGATTTTTTTTACATGCAAATTCAGGAATTGGCATGTTTTATTCAAGACAATCTTAAACCAATAACTTCCAAGCATGTACATTTAAAAGGTTGCTGGTTGCTGTAATTGCATAAAATGAGATTTTTCTGTCAGTAAAATTATTTCTTTGCCCCTCAAAACAGTTCATCTTGATGGCAACATTCTCACAAATTGAAGTGTTGACCAGTGTGTGAAAGGATGGTAGGTTGCAGTTGCCCCTCAGCTTCACGTATTTCTATTGCTACTGTGCATTTGTTGGTATAATGCTAATTAAGAACTAATTATTATTATTAACATTATTAATGTTTTAGCCAGTGGCCTTGTCTGGTTTAGTCAGTAGATCAGCTGGACACAAAATATGACACATTCAACATACACTATATGGAAAATAACATTCCCTAAATAAGTTTAAATTGAGCTTTGCTTTCAAGGGCTTTCCCACTTTGTCTCTACTTAATAACTCATTTGATTGGTCTTTCCAGAAAACCTCTTGGACCCATAAAGCAAATCGTCACCTTATACTGTATGTGATTATAGTCATTATAACAGTAAAGCACCATGCAGTATAGTTATCTGACCTGCAAATGGGTCTGACAAAGATCAAACTGCTACCAATGTTCTGACCACACAACAGAAAATCAATCACTTCAATCTTGTCACAAAGCTGGTGTATCTTGTGCTCATTTTCTTTACTGTAATAACAATCTTTCGGTCAGGTCTTCTCATATCTGCTCCTTATCACTCCTGACACTCCCTCAACAACATCGCCATGTATTTGGACTATCCTGCAGCGAGATAGTCCTGCCTCACACATCCAGCACACTCATGTTTAACTCCTCTCCTCACTCTCCTCCTCTCTTCACCTGACCCCCACCCCTTCACTTCTTCTCCATCCTCATGCTGTCAATCACCTGCCATCCCATCCAAAGACTACACATCATACTGTGATGACCCCGTGTGTTTATCTCCTGGTAAAAACAACAACAACCACTGACTGTTTGGCTGCTTGCATGTACTAGAATAATGCCTGTGACATACTGGCGAAAATCAAGCTGATCCCTGTCCAGTGTTTGTCCTGCTCTGTATTTGTGCCAGGAAGGAGTAAATCCAATACTAAATCAGCACAAACTAGTACACAATACACCCCAAGGTCACTGCAGTGTGAATGTTATATTAATGTAGTCTTTCATACTGATCAACTTTTAATGTATCCATACAATACAGAACTCTATCACCAAAACAAGACACTGTGTTTGGGTTTTGTGTCCTGAGTCCCGCATGTGGTTAGGGTTGAGGTTATGAGAGGATGCCGAAAATGGTTTAGTCCTATAAATGGTTCAACAAAGTCTGTTGATCATCCTGAGTGAAGGCTGAGCTTGCTAACTGTCAGTCCGCAAACTTGTTAGCTCAGATGCTAACAGTAGAATAAGTTAACACAGTTCATTGATAAGATCATCAAGCCCTGCCATAGCTGTCTGCAAACCGTTCAAGCCCTGCCATAGCTGTCTGCAAACCATGCTTCTCCAGTTGAGCATCTTAAACAAAATAAAAGTGAAAAGTTCACTACTGTTAATAAGCTACTTAACACATGTGCTGCATTAGCTTGGAATGGTGCGTGTCTGTGTTTTCTCTGGAAACACAGACACGCACTAGCAGTTCCCAATGACAAATGTGATACACAGGCTTAAAATAGGTACTGAATATGACTTTTGTGTCTCATGACAACAGCAAATCTGTTGGCCTGCTGGGATTTCAAATGGAATAATTATCTTGTGACCACTGATATTGACAAATATGTTGATGGATATATGATGATTGTGGCTAACATTAAAATCTAAGAAAACTTTAACAGAAAATGCAATTCAGAGTCCAAAACTGAGATAGATTCATTTATCATACACACACATCCCTGCAGTGTTATCAATAAAGGTTACAAATCTTTTCTTTAAGTTGATGAAACATTTCTCTGAAGACAACTCTGAGCTATGGAGGAAATGAATATAAAAAGCACTGTGCATTGTAGTTATCTTCCATTTTTGGAAGCAAATATTTGCAAGCTGACAATGACAAAACGCTAGGCTGCATTTTTAATCACAAGGCTTCTTTCATCGTGACATTTCAATAAAGGCCAGTGTGTGTAAAGGAAACAGCAAAAAGACATTTTTGGACAATAAAGAAGAAATACAATGCTAAACATTAAAATAATAAAATTGCTGTGTACAGCAATTCCAGAAAGATAAAAGTGGCTCATAGAGAAAATAGCAGACATCATAGAAAGAAAGAAGGTGGAGGGGAGACAAAAAGCAGCCCCACAGTGAGAGTTTAATCTGTCACCTTATTCCTTGCTCTTTCTTTCTCTGACAGAGTGAGAAAATCAAATGCATGTGATTATTAGATTGAGAAAAGTGGAATTTTTTACAAAAGAAGCAAAAGATAAAGGAATAAAACAAGAAACTATGAAAGAAATGAAAGCAAGCAAGAAGGAAGGAAGGGAGCAAAGATAAAGGAAGGAAAGAAAGTTGAGGAGGGATGAAGGAAGAAAGGGGTAAAGAAAGAAAGAACAAATAAACAAAGCTATGTAAAGTTTAGCTTCACTTATCCAGCTCAGATGTATCTGTTCCTGCTCCTTTCTGCTCTTTTCCTCTGAGAGCATTTTCAGAGCCCTGTAGGTTTTCTTATTGTATCTCTGCTCTGCAATTTGTATTTTTCATCTCTTTTCTTTGTGGTTCATCATTTTGATGTGGTTGCTAAACTACACCAAACTAAAAAAAAAGAAAGGTGGAAATGTAGGGATAAGTGAGAAGAAAAGAGACACAAGATGAAACCATGAAAGTAAGATTGTCAAAGAAAATTGATTTAAAGAACAGAGAAAAGATGTGGAATGAATTAAAACCAGACAGAAAGTAAGGCGGAGGGTAGAAAGGTGAAGTGAAGACAGTCAGAATGAATAAAAGTTAGCAGGTGGGAAATACTAGCCTTCTGTTCCTAGTGTCTCTAGCACTGCGTCTGGAGTGTCAATCGAAGAAACGTCAGTGCATTAATCACTTGTTTATGAGGATCCATTATACGACTTCTCCACACTGGGCAACAAACAGGCAGAAAGATTCTTCCACCTGGGAGAGGGAGGATTGAAGAGATCCACAGAGAAGAATAAAATGATGCATTTACCTCTTTAGAGCTAGCAGTTATCATAATACTCACACAGAGTAGCGATGAATGTGCTAATTCACGTGTTCCTCAGAGAGACCGATGCACTGCAGTGGTGGCTTTATGATCACAATTTGTTTTAACACTGCTAGCAGCCAGAGAATGCAGTCATTACTTTTCACAGCTAGAGAGGCCCACAGCAAAGAAAAATTATTATCTGGCTTGTTACAGATACAGAGCAGCTAAGCAGCTGAGCAACACAGCCCCTCAGCAGCAAGTCATATATACTGTACTGTGTCCATGCTATGTATACTAATTCAAAAACACTTCTGTAATTAAATACAATGTGAAGCTGACACAGCAGCTATTGGTAATTAACTGGGTGAAAAGCTGTGACACACAGGCAGAAATGATGAACTCATGATCATAATGAATTAAAGGTCTGAACAGTTCTGGTGGAGGAGTTTAAACACCAACCTGGGAAATCAAAAGCTGCTCTAAAACATTAGCAAAAACTTTATTAGGCAATAATAAAGCCAACAGTGACAGTATGTGTACCAGCAAAGTGGAATTTCCACATTCCTGGAATGAAAACAAGTCAGTGGGTTACACTGCCTTACACTGGGACAATGCTAGTGCACGTGTGTCAGCAATGTTTAAATTCTGCCGGTTGTGTTTTTGCTGTGTTCTCATTCAGCATGTGCTCTGCATCATGGACAGATGAGTCCAAAAATGTCCTATGTGATGAAAAGTTTATTTTGTGTGTGTGTTTTTTGAACCGTGTTTGCTACTGCATATAGTGACAGTACATCTACTGTAAGCTGCATGTGGCTGTAATTTATATAAAGTGTAAAATATGCAGTGAGATGAAACCTACTGTTGTTCTTCTGTAAGACTTTGTCTCTTTATAGATTTTCTCTTCATCTATGTCTCTTTCCTCTCTTTTTTGCCCACGCCTTCATTTTTTTTTCTTTAATCTTAACTTCCTATCACACTGTCGCTGCTAGCATCATGTCTGTACATCTCTCCCTAAGGTCTCCCTCCTCCTTCTGCCGGCCCAAAGAGAGGTTTGAAGACCAGAGGCAAGCAGAAACATTTCAGTCATCATCCTTACCACATTCACATTCATTCCTTTGTACTTATGGATTTATAACCTGCTGTGACCAAACTCAGATGTACAGTGAACATATAATGAATCAGACCAGTGTGTGTGAGCTCTAACAGCTGCAAGATGTAATGAAAATAACTACCACATTTGCAAAGCTTACAATGTTCAGGTTCCTGATATTTTGTCCGCCCCATTTAAAGGTAGGGTTGGCTGGAAAAACCAGCAAGAGGAAGCTCGATTTTGTGAGTAGGCAATTGAAGAAATCCCACCCTTTCATTCTGACTTCTCTCCAAAGCCACTCCTCCAAAACACAATATACACTGTCTGACTACAACCTACAGATTTCAGGAAAATAACAAATACCCCCAAAACAAAACAAAACAAAACCAATAATTACCTGTCCAGCAGAAATATGGCCACCATGTCCACTTTTCAGCCCCTTTGGTTTTCTCAGTTGTGGCCATTGTCCAAAGGCCACACCAGTGTTAATTCTGGTCTTACTTCTTGCAGCATCCAACTTGTTTTTAGTTGTAAATTTCTTACCCGCCCAGATCTGTAGCCCCGAACCGTACTTGGGGCCCTCTGGTTCATGGCTAAGCTGCTTTAGCCCTGGCTTGTAGCCAGTAACTAGTCTTCCTTAGAAGTCTGGGCTTTTCTGACAGGGAGAAGTGAAGAGGGAGGTCAGCTAACACCGTTCAGAACACAGGATTTATTCTTGGTAACATGAACACTGCATGTGACCTTTGATGCCCGGTTAAGGGCATCACAATCCTGTCTAAACACTTAGATCTGATTACACAACACTACCTATAAGGCTAGATGTCCTAAAGGGGAAGGCCTGGCCTGTAACAATGGCCATAGCTCGTGCAAGTAGGAAGCAGGTTGACAGGTAGATAGGCCATCCAATGGTTTTGTTCATCCAGAGAAAAATTATTGGTCAGGCTTTTTTCAGCCCTGCTACTGCCAGAGATGACCGATATGTTTCTTTATATTGTCAGTGCATTTAATGTATTCATTGCCATCGGGATGAAAAAAGAATTTGCCAACCTGGCTTTAATTGTTCAAGTTTAATTTTATCAGTTAAAATATTTTAGGCCTGAATGTTTCATTCTATTGCACTTGTTCTAACATTTAGGTTTTTTCAATGCTATGGTTTTGTTTCTTTATTCTGTTCTGTTCAGGTGGTGTTCGTCCAATAAAATCAAGCCCTGCCGGAGTCCCTGGTGACATCACTCACGAGAGCACTGATTGGTTGGCGATGATTTGGAGTTATGTTGTCAGTTTGGTAGCTCCTGATGAGGAGGAGGAAGGTATTCACCAGCTAACTGAAACCCTCACATGTAAGAAAACATCACCTCATACTAATCATCATCTAATCATTAATTCACAATCAATATTTTCAATAAACAGTGATGAAGGGCCCTGCTCCACAGCTTCTGTTAGTATTTTTTATTGGAAAGTCATTCAAACATCCAGACATGTAAATGACCACAAAGACAAGTGAAACAACTACAAAGACACACACAACAACTACAGAACAAGATATAAATTGACTGCCAAGATATGCTAAAGGACCACAAAGAGGTGTAGAATGACCATTAAGCAGCAACGCTGTGTGTAGTCATACTGTGTCTCTTTGAGCCTGGGTGTCTTGCCTACTTTGCCTAACATTTTGTTCAGGACAGGCCCCAGCTGTGAATGAAACATCATTAATGTTCTGCAGTACTATTAATATATTAAAGGAAAGTACAGATCCTGTCTCAAACTCTTCTCATGTATATGCTAAAAGTGGGTGTGTTTAGTACAGATGTTCATCATGATCACCCAGGCCCTGCAGAAGATAGCGATGATGGGACTGTCAGAACATAATCACTTACTGACTAAAAGAGCTATTATGAAAACGATGTCCTTTCACCACAAAAAGGCAGAAAGGCAGAAAATAAACGTCACATCTTCTTTATTCAGTTATCAAAACCAAGGTTCGATTAACAATACTGTTAATCCTTTGTGACTTAAAACTTGAACTTGAGTATTAAATGTTTGTAATTATAATACTTTATTCTACCCATATTTAAAAAATGTTCTCATTAGCAGACAGCTATGTAAGACAGAATGATTGGATTATGAACATAAGAAGCAGTTTATTTACAGTGGAAGAGATAGAAGGCCAAAACAACAGCAGACAAACAGAAGAATAAGACAATATAACCTGCTATATTATTATTAAAGTGGCAGCCTAATATTTATTGCTTGCTAGGTATGGTAATGGAAATATCAAACCAGAAACTCAAGGTTATTTTTCTTTTCTGCATATAAAAAGCCATGTCTTTGTGAGAAAGAGTAGCTTGCATGAGTGTCATTTTTACTTTCTCCATTTTTTTATACCTACAATAGCTGTGATTGGACTGATGAGCACCTCATTCTCTTCTCTGTCTTCTAGCATTCCACTCTGAGGACCTCTGAAAGAGAGGAGTGTGAGGAGAGGAAATGAATGGACGAAGTACCAAAAGCTGAAGAGAGGACGAGAACGGATAAAGAGAAGGGCGTCAGACTAAAGTGGAAAGAAATACAAAGAGATGGAAAGATGTGGTGAATGTTCATTATATCAGAAATAGTTCTTTCTGTCTGTTGATAAATGTAATTTGATGAATAAAAACTCTTAAATTGATTCTATTTATTTGCTACAGTCTTTGTCTGCATTATAATAACAGTGCTAAAATGCCAACCATAAAGCTTATTTAAAAAAAAAAAACTGCACACAGATGAAAACAATTTTTGATTTTTAAATCAACACCAGTGTTTCTGGACCTTTATTAACAATGAGGATAGCTTCAATTATCAATCATCATACTATTTTAAAGCTGCATTCACCTTGAGCATATGATCCGACATAACTAATCAGCATTTCAAGAATATTAGTATGTACAGAGAATAATTCTAAAACAGCACATGAGCCACCAAATATATAAACATAAACTCACAAATCTGACTCATATATCATTGGTAGAGGTAGATATTTCCACTTATATGGGTCCATTTATGGAAACATAAAAGTGATGCACAGTGGCAGCCAATGTGGAGCTCAGATGAAAAGAAGAGTACATTTTCTTCCCAGCTTTTTTCCCTCTCTGTGTCTCCACGGCAGGCGGTCTAAGTCAAAGATGACCAATCACTAACATGTCCACAAGTCAACATCAGGAAAATTATGAGGTAACAGCAACAACCTGCTGAGCAGGAAGATGAGTGGTTAATGCCAGGAGGAAACAGACATGCAGCAGATAAAGACCACCTTCTCTGCAGCATTCCTCACCAGCGTCAGACTGGGTGACTCCAAAGAAGAACCTGAACATGAGACATACTGTAAATGAGTGTGAATGCAAAAGTGGATCTAAAAAATTTGGGTGGCCGGGCTGGGGCACAGACTTGGTGGCAAAAATACATGCAAAAACCATACATGATTAAGAAAACACATGGTCCTTCCTTTAGCTAATTTTGGTTGTGCTCTTTATTTACTCCTGGTTGGAGACATTGCTGCTGCACAGTGGTCCCCACCCACTGAGGTGAATCATGCCAAATAGTCCACAACAACACAATCAGAAAAATAAATACAAATATCTGTCATGATTCTGTTCCGCCTGTTTCCGTTCTCATGATTTTGTCAACTTGGCTGTGTGAGTTTGCCGGCATTGACCCTGGACTGTTGTTTTTGACTTGGAGTGTGTTTTTGGACTACGACAGTGTATGCTCTTAACTGTGTGCAGTAAAGAGATAACTAGCTACTCTATTTCGTCCGGCGTTATAATTGAGTTCACCTGATACATTATCGGCATTTAAAATGAAACTAATTTGACCAATATCAGTTATAAAGCACCACAAAAATGTTAGTTATATTTAAGGCAACAATTTGTCATTGTTTTTCATTTTTCATTCATTAATACTGACAAATATTATATTTTGATTCTGGCAGGGGTAGTGCCAGACGTGGTCAATCACATCCTGAGAGCCACCCCCGGCTCTGCCCATGAACATTAGTTCAACATGCAACAAGCAGGCTAAGAAATACTGTATAACAAAGACTTTAAATGTGGGAAGTTTTGCCTCCTGTGGAAATATAATATGTAAATAGGTGGAAAGTTGTAGGAACAGACATCGATCAATGCATATTCCAACGGACAGAGCAAAAATTCAGAGACATCCTAGATTGGTTGCTGTTCTATCTCAGAGCTACCATACAATCTAAAACTTTCTTAACCATTTTTGGGTAAATTTGATCTTCCAGATCACAAGACCTAGATGTATTTGACTGTGTGAAAAAAACTGGAGCACCTCAGGGAAACCCACCCAAACAAACAGAGAAAACATGCAGACTCAACACAGGGGGGACATGGGGGTAGGTTTAAGATTTGACCAGTAACTGAGCCACTGGTGACACGATCCATGTCTGCTGGAGTACAATGTCACGTATTCAAATCATTTACATAAGTAAAAGCAGCAATGCCTACATTCAAAATGTCTACCAAATAAAAGTAGTATCAGGAAATGAACTTAAAGTGCTCATTATGTACTGTTTCTGGATCATTTTTTATCACCGCATTTAAGCTGTATGTTAATGTTGTAGCTGTTGAAGGTGCAATATTTTGTAGAGTAGCTGTCAAGTAAATGTAAAAAGTAAAAAGAACCATCCCCATTTAAATGTACTGGAGTTGACATATAAAGTAGCATAAAATGTGAATATTGTAATAAATACCTGCATATTCAAAATGTAATGAAATACTACTGCACGAAGTTTGCATGAAAAACACTGGCAGCATGTATCACATTAGGTCTCCTGCATGCAAAACCAATCCCTTGAGTTAACTATTCAAGTCTAGCTACACAAGAAGGCACAACACAATGTCCACTAAGAAAATGACAGTCATCCTGACTCAGCTCAGTCCGCCAGATGATTGCTGGCTCTCCACAATACTTCAGCAAAGCTGTCATTTAATGCAATTAATTTTCCTCACAGCCTGAGACGAGAAACCCCCATACCGATATTGAAAGTGTCATAACTCTGCTACATTAGCTCACCAAAGCAGACAGAGAAAAGATTTTTAATAACATCATTTCAAAGTAATTTTCCTCCAAAACTTGAAAATTAACTAGTTTAAATGTCAAATCATAATTGTGTTTGAGTTCTTGTATCTATTGTTTTGAGTCAGAATTTGGTCGCTTTCATTCCACTGAGCAGATTGGACATTTTGTTATTTGCAGCATAATATTCTATGAAACTGCCTACAGCTTCCATTAAACAGCAGGGCTTTTGTCATCTTGTTAAAACTGCAAATAGAAAGGAATGATAACAGCAAGCAATTGTTTAGTGACCCTTGCAAAAGCAACAGAAACTCATAGGGAGTTGATTCAGAAAATTTCATTTCATTATACAGCATCATCTATTCTGACCCTAAAATGTTTTTAAAAAGAAATTATATCAGATAAGGTTTTTATTAAAGATGTCACTTGTCTCATGATTTAATGGCTGTCTTATTAAGGTAGTAAAAGGTAAAATATAATAAAATAAATCATAGAGCAAGTAAAGTGTATTTCTTTATATTTCTTGAAAGAACCAGATGGATCAGATAACTTGACTGATAACTTTACATGAGTGTGTTTTTCTCTGTGGAGATGTTAATGAAAAGAGGCTTTTGATGTGTGGAGCCAAACACTCCACTGTCTCCACAACACACCAGCTTATCACAGTTAAATAAACAGCAAATGAACATCACTGCTGTTCAGGTGTTGGTTTGCTTGCGAGCTGAGCATCATGTAGGCGATGATTCAGCACAGTATTATAAGAAAAATAATGAACTACCTTTAATTAAACACGTTTGTACAAACAAACTGAATTAAAAAATGAAGAAATGAGATGGAAAAAATGCCCTTTATTAAAAATCAATCAGTATTTTTGTATAATGTATATCAAAGATAATGCAGCCGTCAGTAAAAGTTCTTTTATGAGATAAAATAGAATAATATAATATTGCAATAGCTGGATCTTGTACATAAAACAAGTCACACTCACAGTGGATCATCAGTGTTTTAGTAACCCCTCAGCAGGTTTAAATTTCTTTGGTGGTTTTGCCAACCGATGCTTGGATTCTCAATAGGCACTGGACCAGTTGACGTAGGTATCCCCACCCCCCGACCACCAGGGGCAGTACTCACCAAATTGTAGTTTGGAGCACCAGAACAAGGAGAAGAAGATGGCAAACTAGGACAAGCCACATAAAGGTGAGATTTGTACTGTACTGGAGGTGTTTTTCAAGCATCATGGTCTACTTTTTAAAGAGAAAAGACTTCAAGGGTAGTTACTAAATTTCTGGTTTTGCATATGTGCATCCAGTTTGTTTGTCCATCTCTGTTAAAGTGTTACATAACGTCATGTCCTCACTGTTTCTGTGAGCTCTATCCATGACTGTCTCCGTCCTAAATGGGGCTAGAATTGCTTTTGTATGGCAATATTTGCCACAGTGTGCAGCATTTCTTAGTTTCTTTTTTGCTCGTGTCATTTCTTGAAATGGGAAAACTGAAATGATGCCACACAGCAGCTCTAAAAGTCGACAATGAAGCATCCACTATGTCAGTTTCAAATTCTGTGTCCAACACACAGTTATACTAATGTAATAACCATACGTAGATACCATCTTACTCCCAGGAGACATTGTTCTATCACAATATCATGAAATTATAAATATCATTACATCCCTACTAAATATTCAGCTTTAGTGTGGATACATACATTGTATTATAACAAGCTCTAGATGCAGCAGCAGTAGAAGCAAGCGTCAGTAAGGTTTGCAGTGTTTGAGCAAACCAGTTTAAATATGTATTTGTATAGCACTACAGTATATTCACTGCAGACTCACAGTAGAGAAGAAAAACAAGCCGGTGTGGTCATGTGTGAAGAAGGTTCCTGTTAGAGATGTACTGTACTACATGCTGGGGGAGATCCTTGTACTGGCCACCATGCTGGCAAAATTATAGCTCTGCTGACCTGGAAAAGACTGCTGCAGCTCTCCTGTGTAGAGCCTTTCTCCAAGTATGTCTTAAATACAAATTTTGCTTAAAATTTCAACTCTGACCACTTTACCTCCAGAAAAATCTTTACAGAAAACATTTCTACACAAGTGTATCATGGTTTTCCAAAGCCTTTTATTAGAAAAGTGATTGTCAGTGCTGCTATGTCAGCTTTTAAAGGTTTCTTGAACTAAATTGTGACCAGAATTTCCCAATTTAACTTCACAAAAAAACTGAGCTTCAACATCCATTGTTGCGGTTTTCATTACTGATATTAAAATGTAAATGGAATTCAATTTCATCAACGAGATAATGTGATGGGGTAAGGGTGGTTAATCTTTGAATAATTGACAAAAAATACTGAAACACACACACACACCTGCTGTTCCCGGCAGTAAAAGCCATGAATAATGGATCTTAGTTTTCCTTGGCCTGAGGGAGAAGCTTTTAAACATAATTTGTTGCTTTAATTTATTTACACAACCTGGCAACCCCAGCCCCTCAGGCAGGATGCGTTACACAGAACTGA